ACGGACAAGAAGAATTGACAATTAAGTCTCCGTCACTCTTTGATGTTGCCAAGGAAAAACATTCGTTCAAATTATCTAGTTCTCGATTAGTCTTAACAACTTTTCAACTGCCTATGTTTAATACTTACAGGAATATCTATTTTTAGAGAGCAGTTCTGCAACGTGAAAAGATTTTCCTAGGATTTACTCGAATCAAACCCAACGTGTACTATGTTGGGTTTGAAAGGCAGTTTTTTCTACACATATATAACGTATCTATGAAATGCGCAACACCATTGCAACAAGATACTTGTGTGGAATGAGAAAGTTTCCGCATAAAGTTTATATTTAGTCAGAGGATGGCTTCTAGATTATATATAGCCCGACAAATTACCATGTTTTATAATAATACTAGTAGACTCGGCCAAGCGTTGCTCTGGCTAAGATTTTTGTTATATTACATAGTAGTAAACTATTCAAGGGAAACGGTAGGAGAACTTATGTGAAAGGTAGATGACAGCTTATGTGAAACGTTGATAATTTTAACACAGCGCCATCTGTTAGAATTGTATCAAATAATAAACAAATATTTTGCAATAAATTAAAATTGCGACTATAATTTGAGAATTAAACTATCCTATCTCTCAAGTTGGATCGAACTGCACATGGTGTGCAAATTTGATTGATATCGGTTCGGTAGTTTAGGAGTCCATTGAGGACAAACATTGTGACACGAGATTTATATATATTAAGATATGATATGTCATTTCTTTTAATTGTTAATAAAGATCCAATCTATCTTAAGAATTTCGCTCAATTTTCCCTTAGAATTAAATGTTACAACAACAATTTCAAATAAAAAAAATGTTCCGTTAAAAGCCCTGATAATTATTATAATTATTATTAAATAAGTAAATATTTCCTATAAAATAAATAAGTGTCGCTACAACCTTTTTAGGTCTGGGCCTCAGATATCTGCATCTGTTTCAATCTAATAGGCTCTTGCCTATTTGCTCTTTTAATTAATAATTAAGGAGGCTGAAACCTTTTTAGGTTTCAGCCGTGCTGTGCCTGACACAAACATGCTATCGACTTTTTGGGTATAAGGCAAGGCGGTTTCCTTACGATGTTTTTCTTCACCGTTGAAGCGAATGTGCACAGCCGAGGATCGAACCTACGAACTCAGGGATGAGAGTCACACACTGGAGCCACTAAACCAACACTGCTCTTTATATTTCATATATCCTTACAATATATATATATATATATATATATATATATAAATAGACCTGGACCAATAGAAGATTTTTTTATATTTAATACGTATGTTCAGGACAATGCATCGGGTCCGCTTGTATAAAAATATAGTTTCGTGAAGTTTTGTGTAATTCTGTTTCTACCTATCCCAAGCTTATGAAAAACGAAATGTCACAATCAATGGAATAGGAAATGACGTATGTACACGAGTGGTGTTTATAAATATGAGGAAGTTGTCGAGTCATTGGAGGTTAGCAACAATATGCGTTATGAATAAATTATATGACATTTATTAGATGAATTCTTTACATATTATCATTATTAATTAGTCTGTGACGTTTTTCGTATTCTATGTCTGTTGGATACATAATCAAAGAGCCGTATTATTTAGAAAATTTAATACAAAAGTTTTTTTTCCCAAATTATAAATAATAAAAAAATACACAGAAAACAAATATGAAACATATTTTGTACCGGATTTCCGATGCTTTAATTCTGTCTGTGTCATTAATTTGCAATAGAGAAGTACAAAGTCTATGTTGCTTGCGGCATATGTAGTCTGTGGTAACGGAAAATAGGCGGGAGTTTATTGTAAAGCTCAGTACAATCAGGACGGTATACAATTTCATAATCATTACGATCTAAAGAAACGGAAAATGTTTTATACATCATTATTATATTAACGATGAATTACTTACCCATAATAGCCATAAAGAATTGATTGGCGATACCGCCATGTTGAAATTTTGCGAACCATCGTAGAGGGAAGATGTCCAGCATAATGTAATCGATATTGTCACTTCAGTCTTTCATTTTTTTTCTGAAACAAGACAGACAATTTTATGGTTTTAAAATGATTTGAAGTATCAATCAATTGCAAGAATATTTAAAAGTAAGGTTTTTTGTTTTCAGTTAAATTTACGTTGCACTAATATCAATTATATAAATACTCAGTTAAATAAACGTACCAAAAGTATTCGAGTGGGAACTAACTTGGTTCCAAAAACAATTTAACATGTTACTATAGTTTTTAGCAATCAGCTAGATATTTCGTACCCTACGATACTACGTATAATGTATATACATATAATGTATATACATATAAAACGCTTAATTTTAACATATTAACAATGAGTTACTATATAAATATATTTGGAATGACAATTCAGACTAGCCATAGATTCTTAATTTGGCGGGAACTTGCGTCAGTCAATGTTCAAATGTTTTACGGTAGACGTGGAGTGAATATCAATTGTCAAGATTTTATTACCTACGCTGTAGAAATTGTTATTTTTACCTAAAAGACTACCAATTTTCTTGTTAACAAAGATTATTGATACAGTACGACGTGAACAATAGTGAATGCCATGTATGTTTTTGAAAAACTAAAAGTTTACCTTATTACGTAATATCACAATGAATAACACGAAAAAAAAACCAAACGCCTTTTTTAATGGGACACTTAAAAATTGTCTATACATTCATACTTAATCTATTCTCTATGCCCACTTAAAATTAAACTTATTGATACACTGTCTACGATAAATCTATGAAATATTACTACAATATCCGCTGTTGAAACTGAAGCAGACTGCATCACACCGGAATCGTTTTACGGAACTTAAATATCAATTTATTTGTTTGTCTCTAGTAAATGCTCGTTATTGATTAATGTTTGTTAGTGACAAATAATCTAGATATAAGCCGAAAGAACTTGCGACCAGAGGATATAACAAGCAGAGTAGTGTACACGCAAAATTACTTCGTTCATAGATTATAAAAATATGTATGCTGGTATTTTTTATATAACAGGGCAAAAGGGCAGGGAGTGCCAGGCCTCGTAAGTGCGTTGTCGGCCTTTTAAGAATTGAAAAGTAAGTTCGTCTCATTTAATAAAAAGCGATAGTATCATCAATCACTGACTGTGCCGTTCCTACGCAGTTATCAGATTGTTATAAAAAATACCTAGTATCAATTTAAAAAAGAAAAATTCTTGTGATATATTCAGATATTAGGATAAAAAGTATAGCAACATGTCCTATAGTATATAGGATAGCTTCGAATAAGGATAATGATACGGCTATTAGAAAGTGGTGGATTATCTAGTGGCTCAAGTATTCTCAGGAAATGCCACAATTTTTACGACAGACCCACGACATGGCGAATAAGGACTGTCATTAAGTGCTGCCCAAGCATGGGAAGCAGCTTACTAGCGTCTCCTCAGATGGACCTCCAGAAAAGGAGAACAGCTGAGAAATAGAGTCACGATAAACAGGAGTGGAATCCACCCAAATGGTTGTAGTATTGCGATTACTTGCGTGGCAATTACGGCTTACTTCTCCTCCATCAAATGTGACAGGACAATCACAATATCGGGCGTACTGGAGGAAAATGGAGAAGGCCTACGTCCAGAAATGGACCAAATAAAGAGGCTGATGGCGAAGCAGCTACATTGTCACATGCAAAACTTTTTGAAGCGTATTCAGGACTAAATTTAAGTACAAATGGCCATCGTTCGATAAGAACATTGATCTGTCATAAACAAAAATAATCGAATTGACATAATACTTGACAAAACTAACGTAAAATCACATGCAATAATAAGAATTTATTACGTTTAACACAATAAAATACATAAATATTTGATCGCATAATTGAACAATATTTTATGACGAATTGCCTTATCAAAACGAAACCATTGTTTGATCGTTTTATAACTCAAAAATTGTTAAACCAAACCAAAGTCTATCGATATGGAAATCTGGACAATGGTTGTATTGTTAGATTTGCACAGAACAAACTAAATGTGGTTTAGTAAATGTGATTTGATTGAAGGTCTAAAAATATAGCAAAGTAGATTTGATATTAGTCCCGTGTAAATTGTAAATTGGAGGAAATAATTTAAGAGATCAGAGGCGAACGCCTCAAGGTCTTGTCTTGGAGCAAACTACAATCTTATATCTTATCTTGTTCATATTATTAACGTAATATGAATCTATTACGCGATTCTGTAAATAAAAAAATAAAATAAAAACAGCCTGTATTCGAGAACATAATGAGGATTACATTAAGTCATTGTCACTAGTAGGTACAAGTTTAACTCTAGTTTTTTTTAAATGTAATAGGAGGCAAACGGGCAGGAGGCTCACCTGAAGTTAAGGGATACCGCCGCCCAGACACTCACATTGCCAGATGGCTCGCAAGTGTGTTGCCGGCCTTTCAACACACACAGGTCGGTAAAAATAAATAAAATAAAATATGTTCGTTACCTCTTAAGCTTAGAAAGCCTGTATGAAGCAAGTCAGAACACTTTGTCGGCGGTTAGACACAAGGAACTCTTTTGGCGGTTATTAATGATGATCTACAGAAGTGACACTGAAGCCTAAGTAGCGCAATCACTGAGCAAATTACGGGTACGAAATGTATGTCGGCGGGCAGTACGAGTACGAACTTAAATTGCCGTTCATATCGATTTAATAAAAGAATCATGATTCTTCTCTCAGCCGTGTCGTGCTGGAAGAGTTTATCGGCCGATCTATAGTGTTCGTACTTTCGTAGACATACGTTATCATGATATTATGTTTCTTAACTACAAGCAATGCCCCGCGGTTTCACTCGCGTGGATACCGATGTCGTGGTAGTGATCGTCGTAACATTATTGACGTAGAATGTCCGTTAGTAAATTTAAATACTCGACAGGTATTAAAACATTCTTGATTTCAAGTATAGTCCTATAGTATATAGGATAGCTTCGAATAAGGATAATGATACGGCTATCAGAGAGTGGTGGATTATCTAGTGGCTCAGGTACTCTCAGGAAATGCCACCAGTTTTACGACAGCCCCACGTCATGGCGAATAAGCACTGTCATTAAGTACTGCCCCAGCATGGGAAGCAGCGTACTAGCGGCTCCTCAGATGGATCTCCAGAAAAGGAGAACAGCTGAGATAGAATCACTACTATCACAGGTATTGAAACATTCTTGATTTCAAGTAGGTAATGAAATAAATTTTTTAATCAGTCCATGAATTTTTAGACTGACTATTATAATTTTTTAAAAACAGCGCAAGCGATGACAGATTTTTAATGTATAATTTTTTCACACCTGGGCATTTTTGTTAGGGATACCTCATTTTTTTTGACGTGTAATATAGCCCATGTCAGTCAGTGAAGATGCAGCTTTCTAAAGGTGAAATAATTTTTGAAATCGGTCCACTAGTTTTTGTGTGAAAACATTACAAACATACATACAAAAACACAAATGTTTACTCTTTATATTATTTTCTATTGTTTTATCATCTAGGTATGATGACGATAAACACGTGAGTTGATCCAATGTCATTTTATCTTTTAGAGACTACTTGACTTGTACCTTGATGAGGTAACGACACTTTTGTAATGAGTGGCTTAATTCAATGCCAAAAAGTTATCGACTTTAATCACTTTAAATGGTCTCTTAACTTTGAAAACTGCAACAGTATGTCTAGGTTATATACTAGAGATAAATTAGTGTCTAACCTCGATTAAATTAAATGTTTTTATATACATAGAGAGTTTATTCTACTTTGGTATATTGTTCTTGTGGACACTGTTTTTTTAAGAACAGAGGATAAACGGGCTGAAGGCTAATGATTGAATTAAGTAATACGGACGGTGATTTTTTGAAGGACCGAAACTTAGCGTAAACTATGACTCTCGCGAGCTCTCACACACTTGCGAGCCTTCTGGCAATGAGAGTGTCCATGGGCGGCGGTATCACTTAACATCAGGTGAGTCTCCTGTCCGTTTGCATCCTATTACATACAAACATTTCAAAATCGAATAACACTCGGGTCCGACTCTGAACGCTAAGTCAAATTCAATAGGAAATAGATCTTTCTCCTCCAGAATACGAAGGGTGTATATCAATAAATCAAAGTTATTATATTTAAATAAGCATCTGTAAGTCAGTACCTACTTATTGATGATAGTAGAGGTTTAAATTTTGTAAAATTGTAAACATCTAAGTGGTGGTGGGTAGGCCACATAGCGCGCAAGGACTGTTCGTGACAGAGAATGACAGTTCGTGTCGACAAATTTTCATACAAATTTAGTTTTCGACTTTCTACATACACTACTGTTAAGGCATCTTGACTAAGGCCCCATTTCAGGGCGTACTGGAGGAAAATAGAAGACGCCTACGCCCAGAAATGGAACAAATAAAGAGGCTGATGGTGATATGATTCATACTTTAATGTTAACGATTTAACGGTTATTTGGGATATTCAGGATATATGTAAACTTCTATTAGAGATAATTTAATGAACAACTTTGGGCGTCTTCCCCCAAAGCCCCTTCTTAAATAAATATTATATAATTTAACCAATAAATTCGATAGTTAAGAGACATATGTCTTTTGTTTAATATTTCAATGTGAGTTTTATCATTACTCGTATTTGTTTGTTTAGATGAAAATTATAGGCCGGTGAATGCGCTGGCGTCGGTCTATAACATGTTATTGCAAACCGGATATCTGAGCCAATTAAGGGGTATGTCAAACAAATGAGTCGGTTTTTTCTAAGCCGATATTATCGGTTATTTATAAAGCGTAATTTGAATTATAAAGCGGTGATATAATTAAAAACGTTTAATTTGTAATAGCGCTTATTAGCTATCTGTAAAGCTAAGTATTATGCCCTATATCTATCTATTTCTTCTTCTTATAGTGCCATCTCCTTGCGAAGATTGGCGATCATCATGGCTATTTAAATTTTGGATGCCCCGCTTCTAAACAATCACTTGGTCTATCTATTTAAAACGTTATCATTCTGTATTTTGCATTTATTATTAATATACTTAAGTTATTCCTAAATTCATCAGATAATAAACTGAACTAAACGCGAATATTATTAACGGTAACACTACCAAATTAGATTTTTCAGATATAATATTATTTTATTTTTAATTCTTTTTGCTTCCAAATTCACCACGCACAGAGCACCCGGTCTTTTATGACTTAGTTTTCCAAGGATCAAGAAAGGCCGCTTCCAGACTCCAAACATTTAGGATAAGATTCAGAGTTTGAAGTATGTAAAAATCCAATATATTTGATATTCTATGTCGATACCAGCCGATACCAGCCACGGTATAATATAATTATTATTTTATTTAATAGTTGCAAAAGTTTGTAATAGGCTTAATGTGGAACAAAGTGAAAGTAGGCTGTGGTTTTTTCTGATCATTCAATCATCTCAAATGAACCAAAAAAATATTTTTTGTCTCTCAACATTGCAAAACAAAGATTTCTCATTAAAATTTTTCAACTATCTATTATCTACGGGAGTTACGAACGTTTACGGAAAGTGTGAGTCGATGGTGACTTGTGGCCAGAGAACATTGGCGGAGCATCCTAACAATAAAAAAGATTCCCCATAATACGAAGCGACAAACACTAAGGACACGCTTTATAACTGAAATGGAAATGGCTAGGCCATATTGCAAGGTGTACAGACCGAATATGGACCGCCAAAGACCTCCAGGGAACAAACACGTGGAAAAACCACAACAGCTGATATAGAATATATCTGTGAAGAAACAAAATCAGATCCAAATGGAAAGTTCAGCAAGAGGACCCAAACGAGTCCATACTGCAAGACACGAAACAATAAAAATAACTAACCTAGACCAAGTGTGTAAATAACAAAACTTACAGTCATTTGATATGTATGTAATAGTATGGAATTAAAGTGGCTTTATATTATTATTACATCATTACTACATTCACTTACATAAGAAAATATACTAATACATTAAGCTAGCTTATACATTAATTGTGTAATGTATTACACAATTCATTTATATTATTTATTTATTAGTAATCTTACAGCTAAAATACATATTATAAAACAAAACACTTAGACAATATAGAAAGCCAAAACAGATTACATAGATAAACAATATAACTTTTTCGAGATGACATAAAAAAACGAGTGGAGCATGACGTACAGACCCGAGCGGTAACGCAAGTTCGGCTCTGTACATTGAGAGCAAACAACGTATACGGCGAGAGAACGTTGAGGTATTTGCTACCGCGGCTAATAAATGGTCTACCCAATCACATATTAGATTGCCTAACGCCAACCAACATAAACAGCAAATTAAAAAACTACTTTTATATGCATTTGTCGCGCTCCTAAACAAGACTGTTACATTAATACAAACCACAGAGGTTTTCTAATGTAACTTATTATGATTGTATTATTTTTTTTGTAAAATAAAGAAATTAAAAAAAAAAATTATGTATGAAACAGAAAACATAAGTACAATACATAAAATTTTTGTTAAATTTAACATTAAGCAAACGATAAACGATTCAAAGAAAAAACTAGAGTGTTAAGGCTGCTGCCTCGAATTTTGCGGGCAGCGGGGCGGCGGCGGCTGCGGCGCGGGAGCGGGCGATTGCACCTCTCGTTACCTGCCCTCGCGCCGCTGCCACGCCGCTGTTTTCGAGAACCGGTCCATTTGATTTTACGCATAAGATCCTGCCGCTACCGCGCCGCTGCCGCTGCCGCCCCGCTGCCCGCAAAATTCGAGGCAGCAGCCTCAATGCTTAAACAAAATCAAAGTCTTCCCGCCTATTCAAATGTTTCCTCACATCCTCTTTGGTGAGGTGGAAAATATCAATATCCTCATAATTAGTGTTATAATTAGATAAAACCCGAAACATTGGCGAATTATGCAGGTAGTTCGAGTTCGTACGAGGCAAATGGAACAATTGTGTGTATCTTGTCGCATACGGTGGAAGGATTCTAAGAGAAACTAACGACAGCAAATAGGGGAGTATCTATCCGATTTGTTCCAGTTCAAATATTTATGGCTGCTCTGACTTACTAACAATTTGTATACTTCAAAACTTGGCGATTTAAAAGAGTGGCGGAGAGTTTCTTGCTAGTTCTTCTTGCCCACTCTACGCCCTTGACTTGCGAACTGGTAGTATTAATTATTAACGAATTTAGAATCAACTATCTAACATCTTTTCTGTTGACGTTCATAAGTGTACTTGGTTACCTATATGAATAAAGTTATTTTGAGTTTGAGGTTGAGTTTATAACTTACAAATTATTTTGTGTAATATACATTTACTAGAATAGTCTATAAATAATAAATACGACTTGCGGTTACATGTACTAGGTGAGCGCAACTGGGTCATTACAATTGAAAATCCTTTTATAAAATTCAAACAAATATTAAACACCATATATTAACAGTAATGTTTCTAAGACTTTTTTTATTCTTAACTTACATAGTAGATAATAATAATAATTAAAAATTGATAAGTAGAAAATAAAAACAACTTTAAAACGCTTGGTCCCTGTGGCAGTCTACCTTTAACGCTGGCAGCATTTCCTCGCTGTATTGCGATATTTATTCGTTGAGCGAGGAAAGAGTGCACTTGAATCTCACTGCCCAAGAGTCTACTCCAAAGGGAACATAATCAAAGTTGGAGGAAATACTTTTGTATTTGAGCCTTTTGTTATTTTTCACCAGTTCTGCGGCCGCGCCTTTGTTCTTGTTCGAGGGAGCTGAGTATTTGTTAATTTAAAACTACAGATAATCAATTACGCATAGATTATGAAGGATGATGTTAAACTCAGAAAAGTTTTTGTAACATTAGTTTTTATAAACGTTTATGACTAAGTTTTAACAGGAGAATAATAATTATTCGTTAGGTATTTGATGATTACACGCACGTTTTGTTTCTTACAAGTTAATTTCTAAGTAACTTATATTTAACTGACCATGGTCTTATTACGGCGCGATTTTGTGACCTAGATTTTTCCTAAGAATCAACCGTTCTTAAAAAAATATTTACAAATTTGAAAAGTAAAAAGAAAATGTTTTCCCAAGACATTTAGGATCTCAGAACGAGGGTCCACTCGTTGTAGTCAATTTAATTGTCTTTGATATAAGTAAAAGAAAATAAAGTATTTAATAATACATTTGTAATATAAATAAATAAATTGTTAACTGATTATTAATAAAATAGCGATAATAATAAAGACTATTTCTCTTCTTCGAAGCCAATGGTTAGGTATAACTGCCGTGTCGAAAGGATTTGATATACGAATCTGGAACATCTTAATCAAAGATATCGTAACAGTACGTTATAAAGTACAAAACTAATCATAACGAATATAGATTGTAGACGAAACGATCGCAAGTAGCGAAAGAGATAGCTTCGAATGTCATTTCAAAATTGGACTTCGATATATAATATATCTACATGTTATATCGATATATATCTACTGAAGAATAATGCTTTAAATTGTACGCAATATGGTAGGGTTCATAAACTTTCGACAGCTTACAATCTCGCTTGATAGATCGCCTTACGGTAAACAAATGTATGGAACCTAAAAGCGTTTTAAATCGTTCAAAGAACGAAGAACGTAGTGTTTAATTGTGTGTATAATACAAAGATTTTTGCTACAACAAACTTGTTTGATTCTTAATACAAATTTAGTCATTGAGTAAATAACCGGAAAATTTATATCTGTTCGTTAAACAAAGAATCTTCTATTTTTGCGGTTAAATTAACTATCAATGTCAAATTATTATTTATCCTAACAAGTTCAAATGATAACTCCCGTGCTCAGTTATCTTAAGTATATGATTAAAAATACGATTACGCAATGGTACAAATGGTCAAAAAAATACGTTGTACCAATGAATAACTAAACTAAAACCTTTTTTTTTCTTTTTTTTATTGTTGGAAAATCAATTTACCGACCCCCGCGCCGGGGCAACGATTTAAAAGTGACGCAGGGAGTGTGGGAGTCAGTCCGTATGGTGCAATGGACACCTACCCACTAAAACCCAACAGCCCATCTGTTCACGGGGTGAGGGGTACCGGGTTCGATTCCCGGTTCGAGGGCATGTTTTAATTTAATTTAAATTTGTTCTCGGCCTTTGGGAGCGTTGTGCGGTACGGGGCGAGTGCTTAAACCGTACATGCAGGGCACGGTCGAATTTCTAAGGCAAGCAGTGAGTATGCTACCTAATGGCGGCCATTCACGGGCGATCCATTTGGCACGCTGTCGATCCAAAATTCACCCATGAATGTGAAAACACTGTCGGTCCAAATGGATTGGCTCGGCGCGATGGAATTCCAACTGCGTGAAAGTCCATCGCGCCGAGTCAATTGGCGCGGCGCGCATACGCAGGCGGCGCGCTTGTGAATGCG